GAAGGGAGAGAGAGGATTCTCCTGACTTCACACCAGGTGGCAGCTCAGGAAGCACAGGGCGAGGCCACCTGGCACGGCCATGGTGAGGATGGCAGTGCACCACAAGATGCAGCCCTGCCGGGGCAGTAGGCAGCTCACTCAACCATCCACTCAGACAGGCTGCAACTGTTTATTCCGGAATCAGTTAGAGGATGGAAACCCAACTGTATACAGATTGAAAACAAAGCAAACACACAACTGAACACAATATATCCAGGTACCCACCGAGACAGGTGCACAGGCACAGCACGCAGAGTGAGATGAAGGCAACCCAGTGTGCACAGGCTTTGCAGCACGGGGGATCGGAGGCCATCGCTCGAGTTCACCTAAACCCAGTGCTTCAGGACATCTCCAGCCACATCGACATCGTTTTTCCTGGGAGGAGTCCTAGGATGCAGCTGCACAGTTCTGTGAATTTTCAGGTGTCTGCCAGTTCCCTCACTGTTTGTGGTTAAACTGCTTTCTCTTTTAAAAAAATTATTTTGCCTGGCGCAGTGGCTCATGCCTGTAATCCCAGCACTTTGGGAGGCTGAGGTGAGCGGATCACCTGAGGTCAGTAGTTCAAGACCAGCCTGGCCAACATGGCGAAACCCCATCTCTACTAAAAATACAAAAATTAGCCGAGTGTGGTGGCGCGTGCCCGTAATCCCAGCTATTACAGTGGGTGAGACAGGAGAACAGCTTGAACTCACAGGCAGAGGTTGCAGTGAGCCGAGATGGTGCCACTGAACTCCAGCCTGGGCGACAGAATGAGACTCTGTCTCAAAAAAAAAAAAAAAAAAAAAGAAATGTTGTAGAGATAAAGTCTCACCATGTTCCTCAGGATGATCTCAAACTCCTGGACTCAAGCAATCCTCCTGCCTTGGCCTCCCAACGTGCTGGGTATACAGGCACCAGCCACTGTGCCCCGCCTCTCCTTTATTTTTAAGGCAAGCTCATGCCTGCAGTGCAGTGCCAGGATGGAGGGGGCTCCATCACCGTGAACACAGGGCTTCATGGCGAATGGATGGGCCAGGGCCGTGTGTGAGAAATCTGTCTGAAGAGAAGGGTGACAGGCAAGTGTTCTGCAGGAGGCTGGACCACCTGAATAGCCTCACCCACCTAGGGTTGGATGGAGCCTTTACCCTGACTCCCACCCCACGATGGTGCTGACAGGAAGCTGGGGCTCCCTCGCACCCACCCGGCTTATGCGGGCACCCTTCTCGATTCTCCTCTGCTGTCTGCCACCCTAGTCAGGCCTTCCTCCTGCCTTGATGCAAGTCCAAGTCAAAGACTGAATGTACACGTATGAGTTGGGGCCTGCGTTGCTGGGGTCCCCAGGGCCCTGGGTGTGGTCCAGGAGGGTGGTGACTGGCTGTGAAGAATGGGGCCTCCTGTTGTCAGAACCTATAGTTTTTCTCAAGAAAAACTGGAAATCCAGATTTGTATGAGTCTCCTGATTCCAAAAGGCTGACAATTATTAATGTTCTTGCAAAAACATTTTCAAGGAAAACATGAGTGGGTAAAAGCAAGAGCCAAACTGGGCAGGGATCTGGGACTGTGGACCGCCTACCCTAACAAGCCCAGGGACACAGGATGCCACAGGCATAGCTGGCCCAACTCTACCCTCACTCCACATCAAATCACCCCCGAGGCATGTACGGTAGGACCTCTGGGGGTCTTAGGTCTTCACAGGACACTGAGGCAGGTGCATCAGGAGGTCAGGAATTCTAGACAATCCTGGTCAACACAGTGAGGCCCACTAGAAATACAAAAATTAGCCAGGTGTGGAGGTGTGCACCTGTTGTCCCAGCTACTTGGGAGGCTGAGGCAGGAGAATCGCTTGAACCTGGGAGGTGGAAGTTGCAGTGAGCCGACATTGTGCCACTGCACTCCAGCCTGGGTGACAGAGCGAGATTTCATCTCAAAAAACGAAACATGTTCCAACCCCACACCCACTATGAAGATAGCACCACATGAAACTGCCTGGGGGGCCTCCCTCCCCTGGGTAGCAGGGAACTCTGAGAAACCAAAGTAACCCATCGAGCGGTTTACTGAAGTGTCTTTAATACTCCACTCAGGGCAGCCCCTCCCTCAGAGCAGCCCTAGCCCCAAGCGCAGCTGGAAGGCCTTGGCCTGCCTTCACCACTTGATGTCCAGGCTGTGTGCACCACGCTCCTGGCTCTGGTATGTGGTGTGCAGCACCTCCCGGGCCTTGGGAGAGTTGATCCCCTCCAGCCACTCCTGGTACAGCCCCTGCACGTGTGCACTGGACTCTGGGCGCCGCACAGGGATGTCGGCATAAATACCTTCCATCTGCCGAAGCAGGGCCTTATCTGCATGTCCTTCTGGGGTCTGGGCTTGGCCTCTGCCATTTAAGCATCCTGAAAGATAAACACAGACAAGTTTATCCTGGGCTCAAGTGATCTTTCTACTTTGGCCTCTCGAGCAGCTCAGACTACAGACACATACCCTCTCGCCTGGCTAATTTTTAAAATTTTTTGTAGAGATTGGGGGTGGGGGGTGTCTCACTATGTTGCCCAGACTGATCTTGAACTCCTGGCTTCAAGCAGCAATCCTCCTGTTTCAAGCTGGGACTAATGGTGTGAGCCACTGCACCCAGCCGGGATAGTCTTAAGGAAGCTTTTGCCTCAGAGGGAAGACAGTTTGGGAGCAGGAGAGGAACGAAGGGGACATGGAACACTGCATGGCCTAAGGCTGGGGCTGGGCCAAGGTCTTCCCCAAGGCCATGGGGGACAAGGTCCCAGACTCACAGCCCCCTGTGCTTCTCATTCTCACTCATTTACATCTTCCATAAAAGGCTTTACCTAAAGCCCAGGTTGCCAACCTTTTAGAACGAGGCTTTGTATGCAAATCTTGATTTGCAATTCTCTTGGAATTTGGCAAAAGCAGGAGCACAGGAATTGTGAACAAGCAGTTAAACCACTCCTGCCTGCACCACTGTGTGTTACTGTGCTGCGCCCTGGCTGGGGCTGCACCACAGGCAGGTGAGCTATGAGCCCAGCTGTGAGCCCACACACCCAGCACTGGCCTGAGTGAAAATGTGTCTCCTATCTATTAATGCTGCTTACTCTGTAGCATGTTAGATGCCATCACTCTTAGTAGCCTAAGAGTTCATTTAAAACAATCTGGAGCCAATTTCCTGGTTAAACTTCACTCCTCATGGGTTCCAGGGCAGCATCCTAGTTGGTCTCCAACCTCTACTTTCCCAGGGGGCTGGCTTGCACGCAGAGGCCCTCCCAGAGGCCCTGCTTCACAGCCATCTCCTGGTTGCTCCTCAGCCCAGCCATGGGACCCACTCTTCTGTGCCCCTAGAATGCTCAGTGAGGCCTCCAAGGCCACATGCTCCCCCAGAGCCAGTGCTTGCCTCTCTGCCCTCACCCTCCTCTTCTCAGTGCTGGTTGGGGCCTCCCCTCTTCTAGGAGATCCTTTGTGTTGAAGGACACCAGGGCAGGGTCTCCAGCTGCATCCCTGTCTGTGACCTGCCCAGGGGCCCCTCCCATCCTGTGGCTTCACACCTTGTCCCACTCATCTGCCATCAGTGGAGCCACTCCTCCAGCTGACCTGCTGCACCCAGCATTTCCCCTCAAGCCCCTTGTGGTGTCCCCCCGACTCACAATGGCACAGAGGTCCTCAGTTCCCCACCAGGGGCATAGATGGACCACATGGGTCAGGGGCAGGGGCTCCCTTCTTCCCTGACACTTACACCATCAAAAAGTCCTTCCCGGGGAACCCCGCCCATCCAGGCTTCCTCTCGTCCTCTCTCTCCCCCTGCCCCAGGTGGGCATCCTTCTCGCTTGCCTGGACAATCACAGCCCACAGTGGCCCACCCTCCCGCCACACACAGGCCCAGGCTGGGTCACACCCTTCCTGCTTTCACCTCTCACTGGTCTTTCCCGTCACTCAGGACAGAGCTGGCTTATCCTTGGCACCTGGCAGGAGGCAAGGGTGTTTCTTCCAGGCAGGGCAACCTTGACCCTTGCTGTTTGTTCTCCAAGCCTGCTGCCACAGGCTGACTCTCACCTGGTGCCACGTGGGGCCTCGTGAGGGGATATCCCCAAGACAATGCCCACACGCTACATGGGTTGAGGGAAAGAGTGAAACCAATGGAGCCCAGAATGTCCCAGCACAAGCCCCATAGGAGCATCCACACCCTACAGAGCTCTTGGGGCTGAGAGGCTCTGGGTGGCCAAGAGCGCTGTCTCTTTGGCGGCTGCAGGGCCAATGAGGCCTGAGCACCCTCGGGGGACAGAGCCAGGTGCTGCTCTTGGCGCCTCACCTCCAGCACAGGCAAGGACCTCCACAAAGTGGTATGGGAACTTGCCCTTCTTCAGCTTCAGGATCATGTTCTGGATGTTTCGAAAGCCATAGGCTACAGCAAAGCGTAACACCACCTCCCCGTTCTTCTCAAGGGTGACCTCTTGGAAGTCTTTGTTTCTACAAAATGAACACAGAGAATTTTGATCCGTCAAATCCTTTATCTGTCACTTGGCGAACAATTTCTAACATAAGTCTGGAAAGTCGGCAAAATAAAAGATCTGAATAAATACAAAAAAGGCCTTTTAACTGGTATAAACTCATAGATAAAACTAGCATGCACACATCCATGCATGCACGCCACGCACACGCGCTGACCACAGGCACAGACAGGCTGTGGATGCTGCCCCACACCTGAGGGCTCGGTAGGTGACCTCCTCCACATCCTCGTTGAACAGCTCCTTGGCCGCATGTCTGAAGATGTGTGCCAGGTGCCCGTCCGAGCTGGCTCCATCGTGGCGTGTCACCTTGTCCTCCTTCAAGTCTCCAAACCTCACCAGGCAGAGAAAAGACAAGTCCTTCGTGACTGCCGACAGTCACGGCAAACGCGAAAGCAGACTTCCAAAGGGCATCACAATCCAAGGGCGCCACCAAAGAAGCGAAATCCTCTACAGATGTTTAAACTTTGGAGAAAGTCCCATTTCTGGCATCTTGAGGGGTCTCAGGAGGGCCTGCCTGATGCTCGGGGAAGGCAGAGGCTCTCGGTCATGCTGGGCCCCTGCAGGTGCTCCAGATGCTTAGTCTTTTTCTTTTGAGACAGGGTCTTGTTCTGTCTCCCAGGGTGGAGTGCAGTGGCACGATCATAGCTCACTGCAGCCTCCACCTCCTCAACTCAAGTGATCCTCCTACTTCAGCCTCCCAAAGTGCTGGGATTATAGGCATGAGCTACCATGCCTGGCCCCACAGATGCTTAAATTCTGTAAAAATTCTGTGAACTGCAATCCCACCTTCCCCCAAAAGGGTACGAATGCAGCACCCGGGATGCAGAGTGTTGGCAAGGACACACACTTCTGCTTTTGTGGTACGCTCTGCCCATGCCTCGGGTGCAGCGGAGCCCCAGGCCTCAGTGGGTGTCAAGGTAACCGCCCGCAGAAGAACCCAGCCTGCCACTCTTGGTGCGAAGGGGCCTGCGGGAGCTGCCCCACTGCCCGACAGGCCACACGGAACGTGAGGCAGACAGCACTCAGGAAGGAGGGGCTGGCGCACACATTAACGGCCCTGGCCCAGGGAGGACAAAGCTGTTTGTGCTTCTCCTCCTTCCTCGAGGGTTTAGGGTGGTAATTACACCACAGAAGTCCACCAAGCCTCCCAACTTCCTGGCAGCCCTAGTGAATGGTGTCTCATTCTATAGCCAGGAGGGTGGCTGATGGTTGTGGCGGGGCCTGGGGGACTGCATCTCAGTGCTTCACATGGCCTCCTCATAAAGCAGGGCAGCCCTGGGCCTGGCAGGGATCATGGGAGGCCCTGCCCCCCAGAGCACCCTCCTAAGAACCTACTTACAGAGTGTCGATGGCGGCATCTTTCACTGAGAGGTCACCTTGCTCCATTATTTGAGCAATTTCACCTACAGGCAAACGAAGTAGAGACACTGAAAAGACACAGGTGGCCACAGAACTTTTCTTCCCCTGCAGGGAATTTGACATTAGTGACTTTGGATGTCCTCCCTCCTGTGAAATATCCATCACAGAGAGCAGGAGCCCATCTTTAGGGCAAAGTGAGGCCAATAAAACAAAACATTAATACAATGTAAGCAGAGTTCAATTCTAATTCCTCTTTCCATTCCTCTTTCTGCCCTTGAACTGTTGGATTTCTGTAAACAATCTCTCCATGATTTTCCCATGTGGAAAACTTTTTTTGGTCCACTTTGCATGAAACAAACAGAAAACTTTTGTGTATAACAAGCTCACAGACACAGGATGACAAAACATATACTGGTTCCATTTTTTTTGAGACAGGGTCTCACTCCACAGCCCAGGCTGGAGTGTACTGGCACCATCCTGGCTCACTGTAACCTCTGCCATCTGGGTTCAAGTGATTCTCCTGCCTCAGCCTCCCGAGTACCTGGGATTATAGGTACACGCCACCATGCCAGGTTACTTTTTGTATTTTTAGTAGAGACGGGATTTTACCATGTTGGCCAGGCTGGTCTCGAACTCCTGGTCCCTCAGGTGATCCGCCCACCTCAGTCTCACAAAGTGCTGGGATTACAGGTGTGAGCCACTGTGCCCAGCTCTTTTTTTCTTTTTTTGAAGAGATGAGATCTCCAGTCCGGCCAATATGGCGAAACCCCCTTTCTACTAAAAATACAAAAATTAGCCAGGTGTGGTGGTGCATGCCTGTAATCCCAGCTACTCGGGAGGCTGAGGCAAGAAGAATCCCTTGAACCTGGGAGGCAGAGGTTACAGTGAGCTGAGATCAAGCCACCGCACTCCAGCCTGGGCGACAGAGTGAGATCTGTCTCATAAAAAAAGAGACGACGTCTCACTATCTCACTATGTTGTCTAGGGTGGTCTCAAACTCCTGGGTTCAAGTGATCCTCCAGCCACAGCCTCCTGAGTAGCTGGAATTAGAGACCTGAGCCACTGCACCTGGGTAGGTTTTTATGATGTATGCTTATTCTGCAGCGAGATCAACTGAAAGTGAGAACCACTTTCTGTATTTCCTTTCACACAAGGATGCCTGAAAAAATCCTTAAGAGAAAAACTGAGTCTCTAAAACCATGGCTGTGGCATCACATCAGGTGCTGTGAGATGGCTGGAAACACAGGTAAGAAAACAGCATAGGCTGGGCACGGAGGTTCATGTCTGTTATCCCAGCACTCTGGGAGGCCGAGGCAGGAGGATCACGAGGTCAAGAGATCGAGACCATCCTGGCCAACATGTGAAACCGTGTCTCTACTAAAATTACAAAAATTAGCCGGGTGTGGTGGCTCGTGCCTGTAATGCTAGCTACTAGGGGGGCTGAGGCAGAGAATCACTTGAACCCAGGAAGCAGGGGTTGTGGTAAACCAAGATCACACCATTGCACTCCAGCCTGGGTGACAGGAACAAAACTCTGTCTCAAAACAAAACAAAACAAACTAAAAACAGCATAATTTACTATGAATCTGCACTCAGAAACAAGATGGCCAGATATGGTTCTTCTGACAGCCCACCACGTGTTTTTATTTTGTCAGCATAAGCAGATGGCTGCTGGTACCTTCCTCTTTTTTTTTTTTTTTTTTTTTTTTGGGAATGGGGTTTCGCTCTTTTTACCCAGGCTGGAGTGCAATGGCGCGATCTCGGCTCACCGCAACCTCCGCCTCCTGGGTTCAGGCAATTCTCCTGCCTCAGCCTCCTGAGTAGCTGGGATTACAGGCACACGCCATCATGCCCAGCTAATTTTTTGTAATTTTAGTAGAGACGGGGTTTCACCATGTTGACCAGGATGGTCTCCATCTCTTGACCTCGTGATCCACCCACCTCGGCCTCCCAAAGTGCTGGGATTACAGGCTTGAGCCACCGCGCCCGGCCGGTACCTTCCTCTTTGAATGAAGGATGGCAGTGCTGAGGGCCCTTCTGCCTCTCATCCTTCAACATGCCTGCCACGTCACTCCACAGGGAACCTGTGCCTATGGGGTGGGGACCTTTCCAGAGGTGTCTATGTGCTAGAATGTCAAGTTGCGGCCTGTGAGGGGTATTGGTGCCCTTAAAGGTTGTCCCTGAGAGCTGAGAGATGACCTCTCTGCCTAACCTACCAGTGCTTTAAATACCTGCAAGGACTTGTTTTCAGAGACCAATTAAAACAGATCCACCAGAATTTCAACATCTTAAGCTTCCCCCGCCAACTGATGTCAACATTCTTCTGAATGGGTTCTACACAATTCCAGGGAATGACTTCTATCCATGACACACACAGAACTCACTGCAGACTCTCAATGTCTGAAAGGCAAGGCCAATACAGTGCTAAAGGCAACGTCACTGGAGCAAATGTGCCTTTTTCATTTTACTCTGAGAAAAACTTCACTGGTGCTGTCAGTGCAGACCTAGTTTGTGAGAAGGAGACCTACTATGGCAGCAGACAACTTTCCTACCGAGAGGTAAGTACCTTATGTGGACTGTAATGTAAAGTTAGGGCCATCACACTGCCCAAGTGGTTCTCCCAGAGACCTGATTTATCTTGAGGAAGACGCACAGAGAAGACAGGAGGCTAGATCAAACATTACCCTTCTCTTCACCTTCGTGCAATTAAGCCCCTAGGACCCTCAGCTGTCAGTAACTTCAGACAACTGACCACAGTGGCAGGCACTGGGATGACTCTGGGGCGCAGATCTCCCTGGCTCTGGTGTGCACTGGCCAGTTGGGGATATCCCCAGCGCCCAGGTGCACCACCCCCCACCTCTCACCTGATGTTAACACGCAGTCAGTGCCCCGGGAGCCATGCAAAGTGGGGAGAGAGCCTTCCTGAAGAGCCTCCAGCTTCTTGTCATAGCAAGGGGCCACGATGACATGGAAAATCTTCTCTGGGGACAGGTTCTGTGGGAGAGGGGCACCCATGTTCAGGGATGGTGGAGAGGTGATGACAGCAGCTTGTGTTTGGTGCCACGGCAAGAGGGATGGAGACCCCCCCCTTGCTGCTGCCCTCCCTGACACTGCATGCAGCACTTCCTTTTTCGTTTGTTTGAGATGGAGTCTTAACTCTGTTGCCCAGGCTGCAGTACAGTGGTGGGATCTTGGCTCACTGCAACCTCCATCTCCTGAGTTCAAGCGATTCTCCGGCCTCAGCCTGCCGTGTAGCTAGGACTACAGGTGCATGCTGCCATGCCCAACAAATTTTTTGTACTTTAGTAGAGATGGGGTTTCACTGTGTTGCCCAGGTTGGTCTCGAATTTCTGAGCTCAGGCAATCTGGCCACCTCGGCCTCCCAAAATGCTAGGATTACAGGTGTGAGCCACCGTGCCTGGCTGCATGCGGCACTTTCTTGGGGCTGGGGCAGTTGTGAGTCTGAGGCCAGGCCGTACAAAGTTACTGCAGCCACATCTGGCTCCCATCCCATCTTCAGCTCTACTGAGCACCAGCACTCCATCCGTGTCTGTTTGCTGCCTGCCTTGGGACTGAGTATGGCCCACCCAAACCGTCTGCAAAGCCCCGCAGCCAGCGGAGAACCAGGGTGGCTGAGCCCATTTCCTCCTGAACCTGCGCACATGGGGACAAAACACACAGGAGGCCCAGCGTGGAGCCGCTGCCGGGAGCCTGGGTATATATGTGCGCTGGCTGCTTTACCCGCAGACTTTCCAGCCCACCCAAGCTACCCCTCTCCTAGGGCCTTGCCACACAGAGCAGGTGCCTATGGCTGGGCCCTAACTGGTAGCAAAGCCAGGAGCCGGCAGTTGCCAAGTGACCCCATGGTGAGGTCTGGGTGGAAAGGCCCCACTCGGGGCAGGGGAAGAGCAAAAGAGAAAACCTGCCCCTGGTTGCAGCCCTGCCAGGTGGTCAGGTGAGGGGGCTGCTGGAGGCTGGGTCTCTGCAGCTGCCCCTCACAGCAACTATAGGAGGGCCCATAGCTCTGGGCTCTAGCCATGGGAGAGGGGGCAGGCTGGCAGCTTGCAGAAGACCTGGAAATGCATGGATCCCTTCAGGTGGGGGCAGGGCAGGGGGCAGGGCAAGGGACAGGCGTAAAGTTCCATAGCTCATTTTTCAGTCCTGCCTAAACTGAACACATACACTCTGACATCATGTTTATAAT